GGTGATAAGTGGACGGCACGCACTATCACGAAGCCTTTCCAGTGTGCGAGTTTCATTTGACGCCGATAGTACGTAGAAAAAAAAAACATTATATGGTCGAAATTACCGGTGTCCTCCATTACGGCGTCCGCAATAACAACAACAACAACAATAATAATAATAATATCATGTTGTTTCACAGACGACTTGATTTCACTCGGACTTAGGTTCACATTTATTTTCATCTTTCTCGATTTCTTGCTCACGAACCACGAACGACTTTTCCCTGGCAACCAACGGTGCCGAGACCAGAATTTCTGCGAAACAAGCTCTTTAACGCTGTCCCGTCAGTGCGATTTATTACGAACCTCCATAGAAGGTCAACATCGGTTGGGTGTGTATGACACTGACAAGCATCGCGCAGCCGCGCGTCTTTTGTCTAGCGCAGTTCTCTCTACGATGAGCTTCTTCCGGGGGCGCCGACGCAAAGTGCAAGAACGGGTGCCTGAGTTGAGACGGCAAGTATGAGAAACGAGGGAAATGTGAGTCACATTTCTCCACCGGTTCACAAAAAAGGCAACCCAACAATGGCGCATCAATGCACTTTTCGATTACTTTAGTGGTACGGAAAGACCCTTCCCTAAAATCCACGCTTGGCACCACTGCCTCATCAAAAAAAAAAAAAAATCTGCCTTTTTTCGTGTTTCTCGCCGTGAAGCGATTTTGCTATGCACTGCGTGCTTCGCCCCCCTCTCCAGTAATGATCGTCGTACTGTGTCACGTAAGCGGAGCCGGCCCTCCCTACAAGTTTCTTTTTTCCCCCTATGCATACACATACAAACGCACATACTTTCGTAGCTGGAAAATGTTTTGGGCCACACCCCTTGGCCCAGCTTACAAACGACGTGCTGCGGGAATCGAGGGTCCCCAGCTCGCGTGTTCGTGCCGGCCCCGCGTGGCTCAATCGCCGGGAACAGCCGTTAGATGACAACATGGCGGTCGGGGTTACGACGCCAGGAATTATCGTCTGGAGCTAGCCATACTTCTTTCCCCGGCGTTCAAACGTAAAGCCCTAACCACACGTACGCGTTACAAAGCGTTGTCGCGTTGTAACGTCACTGTGCCACGTACACGCCCTCAAAGGCCGCCGGCGATAGCTCTGTGATCACTCTCCGCCTAAGCTCGTTGGGCCATCTGAACACGTTGCGTTAGGCTGACGATTGGTCGCCGCGACAGAGATGCTCGCGCGCCTGCAACAAGTCACGCGTTGCCTTTGCAGACGACTTCCTTGTTCGCGCTATTTAATCTACGGTTTCAACGGGGCTGTTATCCGTTGTTATAAACCGTGCGCTGACCAGGATCCTACCATTGCTATCCGTTGTAGAGGTGTTGGAACTTCGTCGTTACCGGCACCGAAGACTCGGGAGGAAGATGCCGAGCATGCAGAGACTAATGAGGAAAACTGTACACAGGTTTATTTTACATTATTTACAAGCGAGCATTTCTCGCCACAAAACGAAAACCTAGGCGGAGATGTCGTCCTACATTGTGACGATCTCGTCAAAGGCCCGCAGGAGCCCACCGCGGCTGGTTATCAAGAGTTATTTCTTCTTCCACCCTTAGATGGGGGGAGGGCTTTAAAATTATCTGTCCAACCACCGGACACACATCATTTTCGACGGTGCTGCCCACACCAGCCCTGGTCAACGTCTTTGATTGGGACGTGGCCACCACACACTCCTCCGGCGCCAAGTTGTCTCTTCCTTGGGATGAGAATGCCGCTGGGTGCCGCGGCCCACGCTCGCACAACCACCGCAATGCCAGGAGCATCTAAGGACCCGCGCTCATTTTGTGGGGCTGACGCTAATGCATGCTGTCACTGACCGAAGCATTTCGGTCGTCTCGTTGCTCACTTTGCATCGCGGCGTCGCAATTGCATGCCCCTCGCTTCTCTGTTGGAAGGACAATACCCCTATTTGAACGGCTGTCAGCAGGCCCGCTTCCTTTCGGCAACTTCTTCGCAGAACCGCGAACACCCCTCTCTGCTTGGCTCAAGCGCCGATCCTAACAGCGCGCTTGGCTGTATCGTTTGTGTAGTTACGTTCGGGCAAGCGAACGATGGCCAGTCGGTAGACGGCGCCTGACGAAAACGGCAGATTATGAAAAGCGGCTGCTCAGGCGTGTCACTACTGCATGCGCCTTTGTCGCGAAACCCCGAGAGCTTTCGTTCACCGCACCTTGCGCTGGTGAACCACCCGCACGGCGGAAGCGTTCTCACGGCTGAGAAACAACTTTTGCCCCTGTCGCGACAACCCTCCAGACAGGATAATGTGGCGGCATGCGGTTACAGTAATTGTGGACAGGCGGCAACATCTTGTGTACAAACTCGAGACAGCCGACCAGCTGTGGCTTGTTGGTTGCGCGGCAGTATTTTACCTTGACGAAATGACTGATTGCTTCTTTCCTGGAGGACTGCAGCGAAGTGTGGGAACGCCTAGGCGGAGACACGTCTTTGAGAAAAAGAAAGTTGTTTGCTTCATTGCAGGTGTATAAAAGGAAGGGGTTCGTCCCACGAGGCATTCTCAGATCAGACGAGAGATATTGAAAGGAGATAAGTGGGGAGGACCTTGGTGCTCGAGATCAGAAAGTATGGATCGTGCTTGGCGCCGACTCTTATCCAGGGAATAAATCGAGAAGTTGGTGTCGATGTGCGCTAAGGGCTCACCAAGTAACACCTGCGTGGATACCACCCAGTTCTTACTGCGTGGTCGGTTTAGTGGCCGCCCGGCCTCTGAAGTTTGCCAGAAACTAAGCAACCACATCCTTCACCGTGTCGTCGTGGTCATCCGAACCATCGGGATTACATCCATCGCCCAATCTTAACTGTAGCCATAGGGAAAGCGTACTCCATGGGTCTTGAGGAGTCGTCCGGTACGGCCCGCAATCCTGTGATTGTCGCACTGTGCTGCATCTCGAGTTAATAAACCGTGTTTGTTATAGTGCCTGTTCTGCGCCTAGTCAGAGAGTCGAAGAACCCAGCCACAGCGTACTCTTTGTACGCTACGATTGTGGAGGGTCTCTTCACGGTCGCGCTCGTATAGGGTAAGCGGCATCGTATGAGAATTTATGAGCTTTCTCTATGTCGCGACTTCGAATAAGCGCTCGTTATCTAGAGGCCGTACTTGGAAACGGCGCTAATAGGGGCAACTACAGAACACCTGTACCTTAGAAGGAAATATGTTACCACATTGTGCGTTGAGAAGCGGCCGCATAGTTCCTTTATTTTCGCCATGCCACACACGCGAGTCCGAAAAAGAAGAAAGCGGTGTTCACAGACCATTAAAGTGTGCCGCAATGCATGGCATCGCGGTGTAAAGATAGCAACGTATATTTCTATCACCTCCTGAACGATGCAGACGCCCCGTCGCGGTGGTCTAGTGGCTAAGGTACTCGGCTGCTGACCTGCAGGTCGCGCGGCGGCTGCATTTCCGATGGAGGCGGAAATGTTGTAGGCCCGTGTGCGCAGATTTGGGGGCACGTTAAAGAACCCCAGGTGGTCAAAATTTCCGGAGCCCTCCACTACGGCGTCTCTCATAATCATATGGTGGTTTTGGGACGTTGAACCCCACAAATCAATCAACCAATCAATGAACGATGCAGACGACGAGTGACGGAGAACGACGCAAATCAGAAACTTACGCATTGGAAAGAAGGTGCGGACACTGCATGCGGTAGCTCGTCGTAATCAATTCGCTCTCGAAAACTCACATTCTCCTCGGTGAGCGCACCATTAGTAGGGTGTGCACATTCTTATCCCGGGCTGCTCTAAGCAAGGACTATTTTAGTCTCGTTTATGTAAGCAAGCCCATGAAAAAAAAATTGTTGCGTTACGAGACTATTTTTGCATACGCTTGTTTTCTGTGCAAGTCGTATTGCTAGCCATTCTCAAATTGCTCTACTGTATTCCTTCCCCCAGGACATTTGTTATTCCGAAGAAATGTATACACGCCCACAAACGCATGCGCAACGTGCGTGTATGCATGTTCGTGTGTATATACATTGCCATATTTCTTCCTCAAATTAGTTATCTCCCCGATACACAGTAATTCTCAGCGCACCGCGCATGCACTGTTCAAGAAGCTTCAGGACTGCAGTTGATTATTTTGTGAAGAAGACGCGCACTACATGAACATTACAGATTATTCTGGAACCTACATGGCCGCAAGCGATAATATTCGACGGCGCGTGTATCAATACAGACGCGTTTCACCGCTTGTGCGCTGATCAATGGCGGGCGCTCTGTTCGCTGCAATCAGTTGCGGTGTGTATCGCTGTAATCTGAGTTTCCGTTTGGCGGCCACAAGTTCAGCCAATTAAACAGTTTCATCTTGGACGTCACGACCCCGTGACAATATCATGTCCGTGCATTCGTAGCGTGCTTTGAATATTGACTAACACAAACAAGCGAGTGTTCATTCATTAGAAACTTCATAATGTGATGGCGAACGACAAGAAAGGGGCACTACAATCGAAGCTACAATTTGCTTTATCACAAGATACACTGATGGCCCAGGCATCTATAGCTCTGTTCTATAACCAATTGAACGGCATGCGCAATCGGCAGCACGAGTCGCAGCGTATATGTTACCTCGAAAACTGCCAAGGCCTTGCCTGTAGCAGTAACGCAGCGCAAAAGTGCTAGCATCTTCTTCAACCTCGGGCTCGCTAGACAGGTTCTTCAACTTGAATTTGATGCGGTTAGCAGAAGAGGCTCGATGTTTGCGTGCACAGCGCCACTATTTCCGCTGTTTGGCGAGTAAAATACTTTGTGCCCATGAGAATGAGGCGGTCATCCGCCAGCTACCTTTCGCCTTCGACGAAGCAATGCCAGCCGACGCCACAATAAAAAAACTTGAGCACAGCGCCAAGCGAAAGTAAGCGCAGCCATCTTTGTTTTTTCTACCAGTGTTGCCAGCAAACGTAGCATTTTCTGGAGTTGTGAATCGCGCTTTATGACGCAGCAACACGTGCCGTGCCGCGCGGCTACTATCGGAGCAGCTGGAGCCGTGGCTGGATGCTGCGCTGGCGGGATTCCCGGCACCGCTTCGGGCCATCAAGCTTCACAGTAAGTTCGCGAGGACGGCTCGGTGGGCCACTTGGTATTGCAACACGAAAGGCTACAGCACACTTCGACGGAGGAAGAACACTGCAACTGATACTTTCATTTCCAAAGCAGCGAACTACCGGACCAGTCAATGACAGCATATTTAGGCCAAGCACCAACAAAAAGAGAGAGGGAGTAAACACATTGCATAAAAAAAATTAAGCCAAGGAAGTGTGGAGCTAGGCAGCCTACTTTCTTCCAGTTTTTTATCTTCCTTGTATTTTCGTTTCTTTTTCTGGTTCTCGCCCGCTACCTTTTTCCATTTTTACACGTGGTTAGCATTGTCGTGTTTCCCTAGCCGTAGTGATGTCCACAGTTCGTATCCTCATCAAAGCGCTTGAAGAACAAGAGAAATACTTCCCTTTGGCGCGAGCGCTCACTATTCTACGCTGGCTAAGCTGTAAGCGATTTTGCCTGCGTTACGCCAAGCGACGACGACAGCATACAAGAGTGGCGATGTGGGCTTGTTGGTGATGCATTTGAAAGAAATTTATGTAGCGCGAGGCGAAAAACGGACACAGGAAGGAATAGACTGAGAGGATACCACAGCCAGGCCCCCCTAAGGTGCTCCACATTTAAAGTAAGCTAAGCAAACAACACTCATGATTTTGCTTGTGGCTTATCTCGGGTGTGGGGGGCTCACGGGCATGAGTGAAACAAGTGCCTCCCCCCATTCCGACGCCCGTGCGTTCTTTCATCGTCCCAGTATAATTGCGCGGTAGCCTTTCACGTTGCACAGTAAGCATTCGAGCACGCTGGCGTGTATAATAAGTGCGGTGCCGACGGCAAGTGTGCCGCCGGCTGTCGCAGGCACTGGAGCGCCGCTTGTCGCTGGCCAAGCTGTGGCCCGCATGGCGAGCCACGGTTCCCGATTGCGCCCAGCTCGACCTTGCCTCCGTGAGCACCGAGGCAGCGGCGCACAGTCCCCGACCGGGCACACCCTCGGCGCGCTTCGTGTACGCCCGCGTCCACGAGCTCTGCGCGCTGCTGGGCTCGGACGAGCAGGCGTTGTTTGGCTGGCTCGAGGCCCTGGTGGAACGCAGCGTGGCGTCACCCAGCGCCGCCAGCGCCGCCTGTGCCGCGGGACCCATGGCGCGTCACTTCCTGGCCGTGTGGTGCGCGGCGGGCGCCGAGGCCGAGCGGCAGCTGCCAGTATTGCGGCCGCTGCGCGCGCTGCTGGACGAGTGGGTGCGGATGCTGCTAGAGCGCCTGCTGGCAGACGCCCTGCTGCGACAGCTGCTCGACAACGTCGCCAACGACGCGCCGCCCGAAGCCTGGTGCGTCATTGGCCCAGAGAGCTTGCTTCGCTTATGATTCTACAATTAATAAATTGTGCTCTGTACGTTGTTAATTGTAGGTAACTAAATGTATTAAATAAAATGCAGTTAATTTCTCTGTAATACATCTAATAGCATAAAAAAAATCAAGGTCAAAATTTTAGTACATAATATTTAACACAAGGACGAAAAAGGAGGACACATATCTACAAACTTTCAACAAAGTGTTGAGAAAGTTTGCACACACATGGTGCCCTCCCTTCTCGCCCTTGAGTTACAATGCACTGAATATTACCTAATGTCTTATCAACAAAACCAAATTTCTCCCCTTGTGCAGTTCAAAATGTCATTTTTTAATTTCACACTGAAATTTCAAAGCATGACGTCACGGATTTCAGAGTGTACTTCCCGAATTCTCAAGACATCTACGCGACGAAATTTACTGAAACACAGTGTGCTTAGTTTATTGTCCTCAGAAGACGACGTACTTCATATTTGCCGATCAGGAACTACACTGACCCTTGTGGACGCTGTCAAAATGTATGATGTCATGGCGTTTGGTGCTGGAACTTTAAGGAGGTGTCGCAACCCACATTTTCTTTTTGCACAGTTTGTCACTTGCCAAGCGTTTTATCGAAGCAAGTGTGGCGTTCTTAGCATCATTAAAGAGTGGTTTATTATTACAAGGATTATTTTGCTCTTTAGTCTCCCTTTAAAATGCCACCATTTAAACTACACATTTTACTAGAAAAGTGATTGCACATTAGAAATCAACACACAAACATAGATAAACTGGTCACTAATAGTCCACAACTTTCATCAAAATCAATCAAAAAATGAAGAAAAATATTAAAGGGCAGTAAACAGGCTTGAGAAGCACAAACTGCGGGCAAGTTGATAATTCATCTCAACCGAGGTGCGCGAAAAATTTAAGTAAAAGCCTAGGTGTATTCCTTTTGTACTTCAATTTTTTGCCCACCTTAGCTAAGATAAACAAGCTCCGACATTTTTTTTTTTTTACACCCCTCAAACAACCTTGCCAAGCTCGTCCGCAGGTAACTTGACGTACCACAGAGCTCCCTAATTGATCCTTTGCCTTATAAAACGGCGCCTTGGCCCTGCTGTGATGCAGTTTTCGCCATGCAGTTCGCATTTTCATTTTACTGTGCTGCCCTATGCCGTTTTGTACAGCCCGAAACTACTGGGAGAGGCGGTATTGCCAGAACAAAAGCCTCAGAGATAAAGAGGCATCTCACGACTTTACCACTCGAGGAAGGGTTCTCCTTGCATCGAGCCTTCTCTCCAAACCTCTTTGACACGTGATTAGGTAGGAGTAGCCCTACTTAATTGTTGGCTGTGCGCCAATGACATATCACCGACGTCGTGCCACGTTGCTAAAGTGGGCAGGGTGGCGACGCCGCACAAAAATTTGAAACCACCTTAAATGGATGTTCTAACCCACGTATTTCGTTTTCTTATTATTGCATGTATTCGCAAAATTCTGTGGCAGGATGTTCACATAGCAAAAGTGCACATATGTTCCTTACAATTTTCGGCCCTCAGGGTTGTTTACAGGCCCCTTAGGTGTAGCAAAATTTGCAGAGTTCAACATGTGTTACAAATATTGCGTTCTGTTGCAGCTGCATCGATGGCCTGCTGCTTGAGCCTGCCGTTTATACATGACCCACATCCACACCCACCCCCTGCCAGTGATGGCCTCAAGAGAAGAAACTGCTGTGATGCCCTTTATTGCAGTAATCCAGAAAACAATGCTAAGCTTGATGCATGCACAGCGGATACTTGCCACAAACATATGCATCATTATGACGACATGTGAGGATGTGGCCCACCTAGCCGAGCAAGCACCAAGGAATGGAAAATATCAACCCATTTTATGCAATTCCATCGATACCATGACTCGTTGGTGCTAAATAAAATCTCAACTCTTCACATAGCATTGCAAACCAATGTTCCAAAGTGACTGTGCCAAGAACACTGTCTGCAAGTTGTTAGTGGACACTCGCCACAAGCATGTGCATCATTATGACATGTGAGGATGTGATCTACTTAGCCGAGTAAGCACCAAGGCATGGAAAATATCGACCTGTTTTATGCAATTTCATCAATACCATGGCTCGTTGGTGCTAAATAAAGTCTCAACTCTTCACATAGCATTGCAAACCAATGTTCCAAAGTGACTGTGCCAATTACACTCTCTGCAAATTGTTAGTGGACACTTGGCACAAACATGTGTGTCATTATTACAACATGTGACCATGCCTGTGCGCGGTAACTTTTTTTAGCAGCACTGTGGAAGCTACAGAATGGAAGCACTGTGCCAAAAAGTAGGGCTCAACTTGACTCAGAAATTTCTCGTTTGCCTTGTTGACATAAATGCAGCTTTACTTATCAGACTTGAGCAAGTGCGAAAAGCCATTGTTACAATACAGTTATCCTTCGCAAGAATGCCTTTCTTTTCATTTCTTAGGCAGCAACACCTTTCGAGCAGACCAGTTTCCCAAAATAATCATGGTGTCCATGATGTATAGTTCTTAGCTGCAAACACGCTTGCCTGGTTCTCCAAGAAAAATGTACTCTTAATATGCCACTAAAATGTACACTGAACAATCAAAATGTCATTCGTATTAGCATTTTTCCTGCATATAATTTTGTAACTGCATTAATGATGTGAGAGAGTAAAACCAAAATCGGTCGTACTACTTGTGGAAGCCTCGCTTCCGAAGTCTTCGCTCCACTGTCAAAATAAGTTGTAGCCAAGTACAAGCGAGTAAGCACCAAAGCACAAAGGCATGAAAAATATCGACCTCTTTTATGCAATTCTACCAAAACCATGACTCATTGGTGCTAAATAAAACGTCTTCAAATAGCTTTGCAGGGCTAAATTCCAACCAGCAACTGTGCTGAGTACACCGTCTGGAAATTGTTGGCTCTTCTTGACACTTATGGTGGTCAGTGCACAAATCTGCACAGTGGGCTGCTGTACACCATGTCCAGGTCAACACGGGGTCCTACAAGGTCTCGGATGTTGTTTAATCCACACTTGATCATGGTTGGCCTGCATAAACAAAGTGATCTCTGTAAAATTTCATTATACAAATTATAATTGCTCTATTGTACTGTCACTAATTTATCTCGGGAGCGCTTGTTGTGGATGGAGTTGTGAGAGAAGCACGGGTCGGAGGCGACACGGCAAACAACAAAATCGCAAACAGTAATCTAACTTCATACTTGACTCAAAAAAGAAACATGCACACAGTGATCAAATATACGGCGATACCGTAAATAACACTGATCCAAGTCAAGTCTTATCCTTAGCCATAATCTGTCTCTATTAAAGAGGGCGTCTCCGTGGCTACTCTCATGCGCTCCCACAATAGTAGAATATTCGTACTGTTCCGATACCACTTCCGGAACTACAGCAAAGTGGTACCACCTTGTTGTCATCGGCACGCATTGGCTTGGCGATCCACTCGCCTGCATTGCCAGTGTCCTGGTCTTATTCGCCATCTTCGGCCCGCTTGGTCATGCCAAACTCGTCCATGGCCTCATTGATGACGCACTCCTATGACTGGTATGGACCACTTCATTCTAGCTTGAAGCAGATGAGCTGTAGTCCACCCAGGAACTGCTGTAACCGGCTGCAGCAAATCTGAGCAGCCTCACTCGAGTCTTCGGAGATCAACGGCCACTTTCCGGGTTCCTCACGCCGGCATCCTTCAGAACCGGGCAGCTACCGATTTCGTCGCTGTAGCGATGCTGACCTTCCAGACCTTTGCAGTTCGAAGCTCCACAGCGCAGTGACAGCTTATCTTCCGTTATTTTCAATCACAGCTCGGGTCATGTGCCATGGGCCTTTTTCTGACCAATCTTGTACGTGAACTTGGCGCGTATGCCCACCATCGGGGTCTTGCCCACATGTGCCGCATTCCAGTGCCGGCAAATGCATCATGCTCTCTTACTCATGACACGTACGAGTCGCAAACACTCTGATTGGGACCTACAGGGGGCACCTTGTAAGCGGCGCACAGCGCCACTTGTGGTGCAGCTGGCGCACAACGTAGAGAGTCTTAGCAGGAAGCAGTGCCTCACTGCTTTGAAAGCTATGGTGGAACAAGCGCCCGTGGCCAGCGCATTAGTGCGTGCTTCAAGTAGGATTTGAAAATATCGTAGCGAGACATTCTTCTGCATGTGCCACCATAAATAAATGGGAAAACCTGCACGAGAGCGGCCACGCTTTCCACGTTAGTGAGTGCCTTGCTGCCCATCATCAGTACTGACGGCTAAATGCATGCGTCGAATGGGTAATGCAAGATACTTTCTTCATAACTGTCGCGGTAAGCTGCATTCTTTCACACAGAATACTACTGGTGCATGCCTAGTACCCGTGTACTTGCAAAATACTCAGATCGCTTAGAAATATCGATGGCTCCATAGCCACTCGCCGTGGAAATCATGGTGAGTGGCCAGGTGGCATGATCGTAGATTGCGGCATCGTGCCACGGCGATTTTCAGCCGCCCAGTCTCGTGAAGTGCTTCGCTTGAAATTATCGCGGCATCATCATCGCTCATCACGATAACAGTATTTATCTCGCAGCTCGCATAGCTCATGCTAAGAGCTTAATGGTTCATTCACACCAAAGGCGGCGCGGCAAAGCGGGCAAGCAAGCTTTTCGAAGCGGCGAGGCAGCCAGTACATGCCCCTGTTCAGACCGCCTGCTGCCTATGGATTGCCGCGAGGCAGAGTAGGTGGGCATTCCGCATTTTTGTGCACGCTTACACCCGCGCCGCCTCCACGCCTTCGCTGTGTGGCGTTCTAATTGGCTGTGGCAAAGCGGCAAGCCTCGGCAGGCAGCGAAAAATTGCTCGGAGAGCAAATGCCTTTGCCGCCTGGTTTTTCTCCTGCTTTTGCCGCCCCTGGAGAGGAAGTTTTTCCCGTTTTCCGCATTGCCGCGTTACCGCTTTGGCTGCCCCGCCGTCGGTGTGAATGAGCCTTAATTGGGGCGCGGGCAAGAAAGAGAACACGTGACGATTTCAGCCAGAGAGGACGGCGCAGCCCCGTTTCATTTTTCCCTTTGCCTTGTAAAGTACCGGCGATGACGGCGTGGTCACTTCAGCCACCATCAGTCTCTCCCATTCACTACAGCCTCTTGCATTGTTTATGTTGCTTTTCGAAACGAAACACTGAAATGTACATCCATCGCTAGAGCATTTTCAACGCTTCGTTTTCCACCCTGTAGTTCTGCTACTCTTCATCTCAACATGCAGATTGTTAGGATGAGCACTTGTGGATAAACTGCTGCGAAGGATGGGATTCAATTTATCACTTCGGTGGTACTTTCCTTTGGGGCTACATCACTGTGTTATAGCCACACGAGCGTTTGCAATGCCGTATCCTATTTACCACGCGAGGCGGAAGGAATTGAATAGGTGGAGAGCAAAACAGTGCATCGTCTGCTATGGTACTTCTAGTTCCGGGTCTATCCCTTTGCTGCTTCAAGGTGTAGTATAATTGGGGAAGAAAATGTGCAATTTTGTGATGAGTTTTGTGTCCACTTGCTCAATGATCGTGTTCATCAATCCTTTTTGCGAATCAATAGATAATATTTGGGGCATATCAGAGAATAAAGCGAGCAGTGAAAATGGGCAAACAGGAAGAACGGTAAGAGGCAAGTTTTGATCGCAGCATGCGGTTATTCTTAAAAACATGGTGTAATGTTCTGCAGATCCACCTCAATTTAGTATTTTCGAGCACAAACGCCAACCACTCGCACATATGGGCACGTGCTCCCAAATGTTAACATACGTAGGATGACCACATAAGTACGTGTACTCTACCCGATCAAGTACGACAATATAATGTATTTGCATTGTATATTTTGCATCACCAACTGTCCGTAATATCCACGGAAACACCTGAGTGCATAAAAAGCCCACGGGACAAAACAGCCGCTCTATATTATTGGTATCGTGGGACGTAAAACGATTGAAGTCGCTTTTGAAGCAACGAGTAGCATGGAATGGCGTCTCTGTTATGTCAGAAGCCTGAAGTGCCGATAGGCTGTGTTATGTAGGTTGAGTGTAGATATTTCACATGCATTGCATTGAAGCACAATGTTTGAGTGAGAATGACATCTCATGTAAAGGGAGAGGGAAAGGCATAAAAAAAAGCCAGAAAGCTACAAGCATGCATTTCAGTTTTTCTGTAAGAAACATATCGCCATTCACTGTATCGAACCTGGCTTTGTACCTTTGCAACACAAAAGTAAATAATTTTACGAGTGAGCCGCATGAAAATAATGGGCAGATATTTCATGAGGCTATGACGTGCAGAAAAATCTTTGTATGTGACAAAACAAGCGCGAAAACACCCTTTGCTGCAAATAAAACAAACGTGTTCAAATGTGCAAGCCACTTTAATGAAGATTTGACCGCTCACATGATTATAACTGTCTCATAGTGACAACATTTGTTATTATTCTAAACTGCATAGCACTCTAAATTTGTGGGAAAAGTGCAACACGCAGAAAGCGGCGGCACTGACAAGAATTCCGGTGCGGCAGCACAACACTCTGAACCGGAAGTCGATGCAGATGGGTGCCGTAGTGCACAATCCTTTGTGTGAGCGGCGATTTTGCTATCCACCTGTTCTAAGGTTAGTTCACTGAAACTCATTCTTCAACAACATCAGTCCTTTTTTTTGTGTGAATTAAGCTAACAGTTATTTCGAAAACGATCGGTTGCTAAACATTTGAGATTATGCACAAATTCATTTAATAAACAGGGACACCCATTTCATGGCCAATCCTCCATGGTGGGCTGCGTCAGTTTAATAAGGGTCAACCAACAAACGTCTTAGCTTGATTGCACCAAATGCGCATAATGCTACTGGGCGGCTAGTTGTGTTTACGGTAATACGCTACATAACCAAGTTCGCCCCTTTACTGATGGTTCTATCAACGCAGAAAATCACTAATTGATCTCGCATTGGATTCCCAAAAACTGCGAAGGGTACACAAGGAGTTAATTATTATTAAGGTCCCTTAAAACATTCCATCAGCATCGAGCTGAATTAAAATGCCTTGCATACGTCTCCTTTCTCACCAGCTCTATGGTGGCAGGAACATCACAAAAGATTATTGCACCAACAGAGGTGGCGTCTCAGACCAATGCAAGCATGCAGCGGCAGAACACAAGACGACAGAGACGACAAATGTGTATAAGAGACACCAGTGTGCCCACAGTAAAACACTGGTTGATGAGAAAATGCATGCAGGGTACCCTGCTTATAAGGGACATCTCATTTAAAAGACAAGAATGGCTGCCCAGTGCATGTCTCTTATAAAGGGGTTATCATCATCAAGGTGCTCCAGGAACAAGAGGAAGGATGCTTCTCTTTGGTACAAGTGCATGCTCAATATTGCTTCGTGCCAGTTACAATATGCTACAGTTGGCTATTCACGACAAGATTGGGCTATAGGGGGCAGCATCGTCCCGCGAAAGTGTGGATAGGCGGTCGGCAGCGCGTATACAAATACATGCAGGGGCGCTCTGGCGGTGCTTCGTTGCGTGTGTTCTGAGGCGATTGTCGGCGGATAAAATGCGTTGACTACAGTTTACTGTTAATATCTACGCTCTTCTCTAGTGAATAAGTGAACCACGCCTATGGAACTTCACTATTACCCGTGAGAAAAGCGCATTCTGCCTTTCATAGGGATGGATGCTCGCCCTGGGCGACTCTCTTCACGCTTTCGCTCTAAATCACGCTTTGCTATGTTGTTTGTTCATGGTTAGTTAGAGTTCCGCCTGCAACGCGCTGCTGTAGCGTGACTAAACTACTTATTTACATCTTTGTCATGCACACACTACAAAAGAGAGAGAAACAAGATCGTAGAAAGCCTGCATATCTGTGCGATTCGTTCAGTACCACCGTTCGCACCTTATACGCATATAATTTTTTTTTTCTTTTATTCTGTTCACCACGAAGTGTGGGACAGTCGATAAGTTTTAGTCAGGAAAGCTTAGTGGCTGACGGCGTTTTGCACTACACTGCATTTATCACTGTACGCACATGTTCATGCACCAATAAAAATCTTATATAAGAGTTCAGCAGAAGCCTTTCATCATGTGTCCCGTGTTGTTCTTTTTTATAAAATTTACCACAATCCACAACTAAATCTTTCCAAAGCACAGTACTTGTCATATAGATGCGACCATCCCCACAAAGTACACATTCCTTTTTCACATACCAAGTTCTTTCACGATTCCTTTATTCCCATTATTACCTCGAACGAATAGAACCACCCACCCTCCTCTATTGCCCATCTGACCGATGTCACTGCTTTTAAGGCTGCTGTTGAATGTGATGTTTACTCTCAGCAGCATTTTTCTTTGTTCACTCTTATTTTCCTCATTATGTATACTCTTACCCACTCCCTTTTGTAACGCCTTCGAGCCCTGAAGGTACTGAAATAAATTAATAGATGGACTACATGCATGACGGTGCAACAACAAATTTAAGCCTGGATAATGGGACAACCATGTATTTTTTTTGTCAAACAAAAAATTACCACTGCCTTCCGTCGGTCACTAACAATTCCACAAAAACGCTGAAAACAATGTAAAAAACTTGAAATTTTCATTGAAATTATATGACATCATATATAAGGCATGCCGTCTGAATTAATTTTCAGCGTCTGGGCTCTTTAAAACACTCTTAAATCTAAGCACACGGTTGCGCACAATAACTCAGTTTTAAGTACTGTTTAAGGGGAGATGCGGGTCGAAAAACGAGAATTTTCTAAAAAATTATCGATTTTTTGTTTTCACCTGTTTTGTCAAGATTAGTACCTCTACTATTCTGAAAAAAAAAAAAATCTATGTCGAGAATCAACTGGAAATGCTTTAAAATTGCGTCTGAAGAGCACAAGGTGGCTGTCAAAAGGCCGAAAGTGTGTCATCTTCGAGCACCTTGCCGCTGATAATGCGCCGCTGCTCGCCATTGTCGACCGCATGAGGCGAACAATTGAGCCTCACTCTTCAAATAGCGACGGTTTCCCGCGCTGCTGCAACGCAAGAAATAATAAAGAGAAGCGCGCTTTTGCCGCCTTGTTCGAGCGCCGCGACTGGCTTTTAAATCACGTGGTACGGATCGGGAGCCGCCATGGGCCGCTGCGCGCCTGTGTGTGCTGTGAAGCCTACTTGCAGGATCCGTGTCTCGTCGAGCAGCACAGCTGAACAACGCTATTCTCGAATGCTTATTCGTTATGGATGAAGAAAGCCGTAGGAAGCGCGGTCACCGGCCTGTGAAGTTTCACGCGGCGCACAAATTTCGAAGACGCCGGCGCAAATCAAAGCCGAACACTCAAACCACGAAAAGATCGTCTGCTGCCACAAAACGTAGTGGCAATGACGCCGATGCGCCCGACGAGTTTGCCGCGGCATTCGAATATGTGAGTGCCTCCCAGAAAAAGATCGGACTCTTCGAAGACGAAGAAAAATCACAGGACGACGAGTCTTCGTTGATTGCTGATGTGACAGCACTGAACATGCTTGTGCGCAGTGCAATGTGTCCGACGTGTCGCCATTTGGGATTACGTGTCCGGGAACCTGCCGACAAGCGGAAAGGACTTGCGTCGTTCGTCGAACTCCACTGCCCAAACAGTGAGTGCCCCGAGACTATTCTTTCGGCGACATATACTTCACGGCGAGTAGCTTCAGGCGGGGAGGCCAGCGTGAGCGTGGCGGGTGACGGACTGACCGCGAGGAGAACATACGACAGCGGGAGAGAAAAAATCTCTTGTCGAGGAGTCAGCTCGAAAGAGCCGTGAGGGCCAAACCTATGGTGCTGGCGCATTTTAATGGCAGTGGCCAGTACAAGGAGGATTTTTCTTTCTTGTGTACAAGTTTCGTCGCATTCAATGACATCTTTGATAAATAAACATGCAATTTTGACTTTAAAACTTCTTTTTCTCAAAACACAAATTTTGCCATTTTTGTCAATGTGCCCCTCCTTTTTCGGCTACTTCTGGTGCTCAGATCTGCATGAAATTTTTCCCAAATTTTTTCCAAAGTACGAGAAATGCAATTATCTTGTTTAAGTTTCAATATTCTTTTTATATAATAAGAAAAAGTTATGTAAACTTTTACTAGGGTAGGAGAAATATGAACTTCCCACGTTAAAATTTTTCACGTCTAGTACATACTTTGTATGAACTTCCAAATTAGTTGTTTGCATTCCACACTTCATTTGAAACATTATGAACTATCAATTGTAAAAAATTAATGAAGTTTAGGTATGAAAAGAGGGGGGGGCAAAGGGCTTAAGTTTTTCACTTTGTCATGTTGCAAAACTAAAAGTATGCAACTTGCAGGACAACTCATTATATATTCGAAATCAGCATAAAAAGTTCTATAAGCACCTCAAGTTTCATTGCTCTCGAATGAATATTAAAAAAAAAGTGTCTTCGACCCACATCTCCCTTTAAGTAGCAAAGTCTCACAGTTTATGTGGTAGTAATATTTGTATGTAGTGGTACCACGGCCAGATAAACAAAACTAAGGCTCTTTCGCATGATGAATAAACTACAGTGCCGTTGTTGTACACCTACAAACAGCGTGCAAGTGCATGGAATAGAGTTTTTTTCTTTCTTTTACAACAGAGTCGTCATAAAACACTGCATTCACACACCATTAAATAGTCCTCATGTTTGAGATGATGCCAAGAGCATTTTGCGATGTGCTTGAAACGGAAAGCAGCACCTATTCTGATATTATTCTGATGAATAGAGGGTATGATGACAATAAACAAGACTTGAAAGTTTTACTAACTGATCTTATTATTATTACAATGCATTAGCAGCCGAGCAAGACCGAATGCTTTCGTAGGTCATTTTAGGCATACGTAGAAACAGTTACACTCGCACTGACATGACCAGACAAACCACACTTTGAGAACGTGCACGACGCACACGCACATAGTAACACAACATGGCTAGCAGACGACGCAAGGAGCAATCCACACTTCACCGTTTCGGCCAGTTGCCGCCAGGCGACGACTCTGCTCGATCTCGCGGCCAATACTGCAGGCAGTTATGCAAGCGTTACACCAAGCGACAACAGCATACGACAGCCTGGCCTACTAAAGTGCTCCTCACTTAAAAGGTAGCAATTTTTTCTATCAGAGGGTCTTTCTGTTACAACTCGTTGACTCTACATGCGCTCAAGCATGCAAGCTTTTCGTAGAAGAATCTTACCTCTCGAGAGAAAGCCCCCATGCAATGCAACGAACGTCCTGTGGCAGCCCCATGGGTTGCAGCATCTCCGGCCGGAACAGGCCCGAGTTCCCCACCTCGACCCATCGATCGAGGCCAGGGTGGAAGGCAAAAATCTCCATAGACGGCTCTGTGTATGGGTTGTAAGCTGGCTTGAAACGCACCCGCTCCATACCCAGCTGTGCAAAGAACCCGCCAATCAGCGCCTGCAGGTGACCCAGGGTCAAGCCTCGGTCAGCCACTAGGCCCTCGACTTGGCAGAACTCGGCCAGGTGCGTGGCGTCGAGAGTTTCATTGCGGAAGACCCGGTCGATACTGAAGAGCTTGCAGGGCGTGAAGGGTTGCCGTTGAGCGAGCGCGTAGAGCATTCGCGCACTCACAGCCGTGGTGTGCGTGCGCAGAAGATTCTTGCGAGCTTCACTTTCTAGCCACGGACTCTGATAGCCCTGCGACCCATGGCCGCCAACTGAGTGCACCAGCTTGACAGCCTCCACATACGATGACTGAGGCAGCCGTTGGCACTCGCGGGGTTCTGCGAGGACAAGTCATAAGCTAGAATGATTTGAATATCTCTTACAAGAAGCAGGCAATATGGAAACAATAGGCAGAACCGTTGCTTAAAAAAAACAGAACACAGGAGTGCGTGGAAGATAGCTTCATTTCAAACGTGTGGTACAGCACATTGGCGAAATATTATAATAAGAGAAAAGAGTGGTGTCGTTCCTCTCACTGCATGCCGTCCCGTCAAAAATAAGTCCTCATTTCATGCTTTCTTCTTCATATTGTCACGATGATTCAATAGTACTGGGGGGATTTATTAAACCACTGAGTAGCTAGCTCCAGGACGATGCGTCAGTCGTGGCTGGCTCTCGAGCAGACAAGAAGCACGTGATCTTCTTTTTACCTCCAGATTGAGGGCCGCTCTTGCCGTCGACCCACTAAGTGCGGGTGGTAATATCTATCTTTTGTTGGGACACTGTAGCAAACAATGACTTCTTTTGATAAGAATTGTTGCTAGTATCACCGCTTAGTCTGCCACATCAACACAAATAAAAAAAAAACTGAGAGAAGGGGTGCAGGCAATAGATGAAATGACACCACTCCCTCATTTCACTTTGCCCCACACTACATGTGCGGCATGAGGCTATTTGCCACACACTTCTTTTCATAAGAATAATGGTTGTACGAGATATTGTAACGGGGTCACGATGTTTCCAAGACTAAACTTTTCATTTCGGCAAACCTGTGCCCTGAAAATGACACATCCATTTACGAGCAATACATGCTGTAGATTGATAGCAGCGAACAGTGTCAGCTATCAATAATCTTATTCTCGCTCGGATGTGCCATCCTTCATACATTACGCCTCGAAACATTCCAGCCTTATCACTGGGTCGTTGTGCAAGCTCTGGAACAAGCTCAGCTGTCCGCATCCTGCACGTGACCTTGACAAAACGGTTTCAGACAGCTGAAACAAGGTTACAAACAAAAGCCGAGCATAGCCATCCGTCTTTGTGGGCCAGACCTGAACACATTAAAAATAAAAAAAACATAAAGGTAGCAAGACATTATCTTCTTCAGTCCCAAGAAGAGAATTCCAGATCAATTTGTATGAAGCTTTTTAATATCATTCTTTAGTGTTAAAAAGAAGAGAAAAATTGTGTTTTGGATAAACAAAGAAAGAAAAGAAAACCGGTGAAACTTAATTTTTTGTACCAATTATAATGTTATTTGCTACAAACTTAATTAAGTAGGATAGGCGTTAACTGCAATTTACAACACAGATAGTGCATAAAAGTGATTACAACTTCATTTGAGACCCTTTAGTAGTACTGTCACATATGCAGAGTAAATATAAACCACAGAAACAGCATTTCCAAGCACTGTATGCAACACAAATGCCTGACATGCAGCGCCATCCCGCTAAGTTTATTCAGTCGACTCTCGTTATTTCAAACTCAAAGGAACCTCTAAATTTTGTTTGAATAATCAAGAAGTAGTCAGATATATGAATCTGGGCTATGTGACACCACACATTAGGATTAGACATTATTTTACAACATTTAAAAATTTTTTAAGCGTTTTAAAACCCTAACTGCACCCAATGAACAAAAAGCAGCGGTGTAAGGTCCACAAATTTATTGGCCATTTATTGCTGATCAAACTGTTTAAAAAAAAATTGTGAATTGCCAAGTGCTTATTTGCTACATGTCTTCAGCACAAACCTCTCTATATCAGTTGAGAAGCATCATGGTTTACTGTGCATGTGCTTCATTTAAAACATTTGTTTACTAGCAAAGCCTTTTTCCTCGAAGGCCTAAGATGCGTATGTAAACATTCAACAGATGTTTGTCTGGTAGGGTATAAAACTGAGAATGAAAAAACTTCATTCGAGCCACCATCTGCCACACATAGTAACAGAGGATACGAAAACCCCAATCAGCCTTAACTGGCAGACCTCCGAAACGTGTACTGGTCCCATACGTCCAAGGAACCAGCGAGAGTGTACCCCCCCTACTCTGAGCACCCCTACGTTGCCAGACAAAGCCCATGTTTTCACACTGCCACCGATCGTTCGAAGAACGGTTGGCTGAGTAGTCTGAGCCTTCATTTGTTGGTTACACCATCGTTGTCCTCCCCAGTTTAGAATGCCCAGACCATTCTGCAGACATTGCTGACTGTACCCGATCGTCAGCGTCCGTGTCTTGTCTGGATCAGTGTCGTATTGAGTGCACATGTAACCCCACCGACTTTCAACATTCGAGATTTGTTCTGTGCTTAAGAGCTCTTCTTGCTCACTTTGCACTCTACTCAGCATACCGTCCGCATGCTTTCGGAAGCATGAAAAACGGCTATTTCACAAAACTTATCGCGAGTTATTGAAATCGGCGGGGCTATGCAAGTCTACCAGCATCACAATTCTGTTTTTTTATTTCTGCTCAGGCAGACCTCTCTCACAAACTTTTCTGCAGGTGAGTTGCACAAGAGGACTCGTTTGCTGGATTCCGTGCCAAACGGTGGTGTCGTCCGCGATCTTGGACGCCACCGTAGCTCTCGCCGGTCGGCTCGAACTGGAAGCTGGAAGTTTCGAACTGGAAGCTGTGCAAACACTGAAAACACCGCCAAGCCTGTGCGGAATGTGCAGCACAGTCACCGCGAAAGCTGGAAGAGGGGCCTTTCAGAGCCTTTTCTAAACAACCTTTGGGTAACTGCTACAAGGATGCTTGCTCGGTACTGACTACACCATATATAATCAATTTTGTGAAGTAGGCTGCATTCACTATGCCATCCATCATTTTTCGGAGAAGTGTGGAACCCACTACACAATTGCTAGGATTTTTGTCCAATTTTTTAATGCAGTGGCTGACAACGATGAAGAATTATGCCTGAAGTGGGTATGCACCACAGTTAACCGAAGATCAAGAACAAGCTTTTTAATGGGTTGGAGCATCGGATAACCTACTCGTTATGCAATACGCAATGTGTGACGCCTGGCTGTTCCTTTTATGCCCTAAAACACTTTATCACTCACAGAAATGCAATTCCTTTCCCTACATCAAGCCTGCCTAAGGTGAGTTTCGAAACGAGTTCCAATAACTGGCGTGGCTCAGTGCAGAGCTGGCCACAGAGAAAAAAGTATTTGAGGAAGAGAAACTCGCAGGCTACGCCAGTGCGCGAGGGCAATGCGATAGCATCACGGAGCAATGTGGTTTGCACCAACACTCGGCAGATGACACTTTCAGCGTGTTGCCATCTTTTACATGCACTTCTATGGGCACAACGCATGAAAATCGTGATAGTGCCTCGTATACTGCAAACGTTCTGAAAACTTTGTGTTTAACATGAATAACTAGATGTGACAAATATTTCACTGGCAGTTACTAACTGACACTGCTTGAATTACGATCGCAAAGTGCCTGAAACAAGCTGCTAGTAATGGCCTGGAGCAGACGACGTCTGCCGCGTGCACGTGCTTCTTGCTCCTCGATGGCATGTTGTGGGCTTGCATTCGGGATGGCCTCGAAAGAGAAAGTTCCCCACGTGATGTCGAGAATCTATTTGCTATATGCCGGCTTTCTGTCTCTTTGGCGCTCTCAGTGACTTCAGTGTGCTGCGCTGCGCCAGCGGCGCTGACTCTTTGCGCACGCTTGTCACACCGCGACAAAGGAGAGCACTTTGCAGAAATCGAGCAATGTTTTTTCAGGATGGCGCAGAAATTTGTTGTGCCAAACTGTAACAGTAGTTATGCGTCCTGCAAAGAGAAGGTATTACAGTAGAATCTCGATGATACGAATCTCGTGGGGTCACAAAAAATATTCGTAATAGCCGAAATTCGTATCATCGGGACACATGCAAAACTAGCTCAATTAACACCGAGTCGGAGGCAAACTCATTTTCCGCAGGCGCTCGAAAAAAATTTATTTTTTAGAGAAAAAATCTCTGATGTCTTTCTGCTTCTCTGCTTCGTTTTTTTTTTTTTTTTTTTGTCAAGTCACTCAGCAGACTTTTCTGGAATCCGTAAAAAAGCGTGCACATGTCATCATTGATTCCTTCAGCAGCCATAGCATGCCTCAGGACGCCGAGGGCATGCAGAGTTTCATCCGCTGGTGGTGGTCCTTCGCCGTCGCACTCGTCCATTTCCTTGTCATCGTCGCTGGAATCGGCAACCTCACACGTGACCTCGTTGACAATATCTTCCACCGTGCGCGCACCACAAGTGGCAAAATTGTCATCCGCCGTGCAAAGGTCATCAGCCGAACACCCGGCATCAAGGCATTCCCAACCCTCAATGGGCTCCTCCGACTCTGAAAGGGCCTCAGGCAACTCTTCAGGAATCCTAAAGAAGCCCCATTTACCAAAGCAGTTCGCAATGGTAGTCGGCATTACTTTATTCCAAGCCATTGAGATAATATGGATGGTGTCCAAAAGGCCTATTCGCAGGCCACCTTCGTCTTTTCTGTTGATTTTGGCAAGGAGGCGGCGCACAAGAGAGCTCTTGAAATGATGCTTGACGTTTTTTATAATGCCAGCGTAAAGCGGTTGCAAGTGCGTTGCCGTGTTTGCGGGCAAAAAAAACCAGCTTGACGTTTTGAAGCGTCACTTGCTTCGGGTGGGTGGCGCACTGGTCAAGAATCTGAACAATCTTCCGATTCTTACAGGCCATTCTCCTGTCAAGGAAAGACAGAAATTCTTCGAACAGGGCCGCCGTCATGCACGCTTTTTTGTCTGCGGGATAGACGCATGGCAAATGGCTCTCACGCTTGAAACACCGAGGCTTCTGAAATTATTTAACTATGGTCAACTTCAGTTTTTCCGACCCATTGGCGTTACAGCACAGAAAAACCATTATTCTTTCTTTGTTTATTTTGCCTCCTAGACACGCTTCACCTTTTAAGCAAAGGCTCTTCTCGGGTTGAAGATTAAAAAACAGGCCTGCCTCATCTGCATTAAAAACCTCACGAGGCTCATACCACGAGATAAGAGACTCCAGCTTCGCGAGCCAGTCGCTAACAACGGTCTCGTCAGCCTGCTTGGCTTCCCCGCAGATGCTTTTGTACACGAGACAGTGTCTCGTCTTGAAACGGTGCAGCCACCACTCTGTGGCCAGGAATACGTCGATGTGCAGAGCAAGTGCGATTTCGTCGGCTTTTTCACGCAAAACTTTGCCGTCAATGTTCACACCGGCTGCAGTAACTTCCTTGAACCAGATCAATAAAGATTCTTCAAGTTTCACGTGTTGGGCTGTCTTCGCTCGCTTCGGGTTGACGCTGAATGAAAGCACATTTTTCTTTATTGTGTCCCGCTGTCCAACAATTGTGCTCAATGTCGACGTAGCAAGGCCTAGCTTCTTAGCCAACTCCGTGCGTTTTCTTTTCGGATCCTCATCGACCTTTCGAAGAGTGTCCAGTTTCTCCTTAAAGGAGAGAGCCTTCCGCTTGTGAGACATGGCTTGCCGAGACTCTGCAAAAAGGCACAACAAAGCAAATACGTGTGCTCGACTGGGCAAGACTGTCGACAGCCTCCGCACTACAGTAACCACGTGTCCGCACCAGAGAGCACCCACCACCAAGCAAAACAAAGATTAGATGGGATTTGTGTCTCCACCGTCGCCAGCGCCATCTGGAGCCTTCAAGAGAAAGCAAAAGACGCACTCCGGCGTTCAAGAGCGCGCAGATCTTCGAGTCTGTCGCCTGCCGCTCGCAGGCGGCGCTGACAACGTGCCAAACTGGCGGCGCAGCACGCATTTCAGTGCGTGCGTGGACGCTGCTTGCTTTCGCAGCCGTCGGTGGGGGTGGCGTTTATTCGTATCAAACAACTCGGGTAAAAAATCAGTTCGTAGCAACCGTACTCTAGCACATAGTAAATTAATGGGCCTCGGTCGAGATCACGGAAAAATTCGCATCACCCGGAATTTCGTATCACCCGTGATCATATCATCACAAGATTCTACTGTACATCCAAAGCTCCTAGTGACCAGGTGAGGTTGGAGGAAGTGTGGACTCGTGCCATACCTAGGAAAAATCCCGTGCTCACGGATTGTGACTATGTTTTTGAGAAGCACTTCTCGGACGGTGATTCTGCCACACCATATTACATGACACATAGACACATTGCGTGACACTGCATGCTATTTATACAGTTTTTTTCCCTTTCAAAGCAGCTTCCAGCAGTGTTGTAGCTCTGTCTTGGAACAGCTGCCGCCATGAAGAAAGCGTGGGTGCGATTCCTACCTGGAAGCAAAGACATTTGCATCTTTCTCAATTTCACGGTCCTGGAAAACACATTTTTCCTTCCCAACCAGCGACGAAGACCTTTCTGCGAAACAAGCTCTAATGTTGTCGCATTAAAATTTGGAGCTGGCGAGGACGCACAGAAGCACACCTAGATGCAGGTGAGGTACGGACCAACGTTAGCCCGTACGACGAATCGGAGTGGAGTAGCCTAGAACGAGAATGTGGTGAGAGCGACGCGCGTTTTTCCTCCTCTGCTAGAGCAGTTTCACGACAGAGTAAGTGCTCTGCTCAATTTCGGAATTTTTTAAGGGCCGCCGAGTGAGTGCAGTTTCACCTCCTCAAGGATTATTGCACCGTGCGGCTGGCACGCAGCGGACCCGGGTTTGAATTCTATTGTGTCCTTGGCGTTTTATTTATCGAGTTTTTTTCTTATTTCTTGCAATACTTGTTATGGACACCGACGGCGGCGGACAACTACAGCACCACACGTGACCTATGCTCCGATTACATAACAGCTTTCGCTGTAAAAATGCAAGATGCTCCATGTTTAGGCACATGTAGAGTGGTGATGTGGTTCAAGTAAAAATACACGCTTGGTATCGTTTGAAAGAGGAAACAGAGGAGATTTATTTTTGAAAGATTAATTAAAGGTGAGAAAAGCAAATTTATGTTGAAGGTTTGCACCGTCGTGTCTGGGTTTCGGGCTTATAAGTCCTCTTCACTGCGCCACCACACTTACTTGTGGCAAAGGAAGTATGCGGCACCCACGCGGGTGGCAAGGTGCTACTGCGAGTTTTCACATTGCTGAAAACTAACAAACAGTGTATATGGTTTGCAGAAGGTTTTGGAAGGGCACTAAAGGCTGTACTGGTTAGTAGCCAGAGCTGAGCACTATTTCTCTGCCACGTCACTACATTTGCACACATAACAAACACAGAAATTGGGTGGTGTGCCAAGTTTTCAATCCACGCGGAGGTTGGAGTTATTACTTCCGCTGCCGACTTATAGTCTCCACCCCTTGAAATGGCTGTGTTGCTAAGCAGGAAGCGAGCCCGGCATTAACCGTCCTCAGTTACCATAGCACGAAAAAGTTAAGCGTGCGGGTATCTTTGAGGTAGATTGTAGACTCAAATCCTGCTGAGGAATGAACTTTCGTTTATTCAACCCTTCTCTGTAGCACCCAGAACACAAATATATGTTTGATATTTTTTTCTGACCAGGTAAAAAGCTCATGGGGTGTAAGGATAAGTTCCTTTTAGATATTTATCGCTTTTGGTTTTCGTTGTACAAGCTGACCATGTAAAATATGCAACGATACTCACCTGATGTGCTTGCTCGCCGACATAATAACTGGAGCAAAGATACGAGCGTCACACACTAGTGAAGCATTAGTCACACTCAAGTGAGCTGCCCATAAAAAAAACTACAAGTGGTGCCTGTTAGGCACATTATATTTACAACGAATCATCATTTTTTTTTTTTCCTCACGCTTAGACAGTGGCACTGGGGAAAGCCAAAGCTCAAAACGAGAAAACTCACAGCAACACATGATCTTGCCACCCGCATGGGCGCTGTTATGCCTGCGAGTCCACAGCGAACGGCCGTGCCTCTGAAAAAGGCAATTTGTGTCAAGGCCAGCCCGCCTGACGCGAACAACTCAACGGCGTCAACAGGCGGGCGGCATCTTTCTGTCGGCGCCTCTCTGGCGCCCACGTGCAGTGAGTCAGCGCACGTGCCAGCGAGCCCGTCGAGTAAACAACGGGCGTCTTCATGTCTGGGGGTCTGACGCATTGCGCGGCGACCCCATTGGAGGAGTCTGCCCTGACGACCAGCGGCGCTTCTGGTTGGACATTTGAGTTGGACCCGGTGCATATAAAAGAAGCCCTGCGGCGCGTCGCGATCGGGTGGTCCTAGGGAAAGCTGACATGTGTGTCAGAGCGGACCCGTTTGAGAGTAGAGCTATGTGTTTGAGAGGAGAGCTCGGCTCTTCGAGTCTCGGCCCCAGGGCCGAATTTGTAACGCCTCTGTATATATGCTGTACATAAACCTTGTTTAACTCGCCGTGGTCTCGTCCGCTCGTCTATCAGCTCTGCGCAGAAGCAGTCGCGAGCTGAGAAACCTACGCTACCAAACGGCTGGTGACCTTCCCTGCGGAGTTCGAAGCAGTGGCGCCTTCGGGACCGTGTTGGCGTCGCCGTCTTTCGCAACAGTGGTTGTAGCGAAGAGATTCGAGGCGCCCTTCGTAACGTCGTCGGAGGTGCGCTTCGCAACAGCGCCACATACTTCCTTTGCCACAAGGAAGTGTAGCGATGCAGTGAAAAGAACTTACAGGCCTGAAACCCAGGCACAACGCCGCAAACGCTCAACATACGTCTAAAACAAAAATCAGTCCAATTAAACTTTCAAAAATAAATCTTTCTGTTTACTCTTCCAAAAAAGACCAAGCGTGCATTTTTACTTGAATTGCATCACCACTCTACATGTGCCTGAACGTGGGGCAGCCCCGCCGCGGTGTTCTAGTGGCTAAGGTACTCGGCTGCTGACCCGCAGGTCGCGGGTTCAAATCCCGGCTGCGGCGGCTGCATTTCCGATGGAGGCGGAAATGTCGTAGGCCCGTGTGCTCAGATTTGGGTGCACGTTAAAGAACCCCAGGTGGTCGAAATTTCCGGAGCCCTCCACTACGCCGTCTCTCGTAATCATATGGTGCTTTTGGGACGTTAAACCTCACAAATCAATCAATGAACGTGGGGCATCTCACGCACTTTTCAATGTTTGCGACCCTTCCACTTTGAAAATACTCGGTCATCGACTCCAACACTTTTTTGACACGCTTATTGCCAACTATCCAACCATGTGATGTAGTCCTAATGTGTGTGATATTTGTAGAATTCTCAGAAATACTCACATTGCGCGCAGAATTACAGAACTGCTTCAGCGCAAAGCCCATTGTGAGACCTAGTAGTGGTCGTCAATGGGTAGCAAATGGCAAGTATTCAAGGTGTTCCGTACTGTACTTCTCAGAGTATTTTCTCGCAACCTAGCTTTCACCCACTTCAGCAAAATTAAATTCACTGTCATAGACAAAAAAAAAATTTTGCCACTAAATTATTTTTCATGGGCAAGTAGTACGCTGATATAAACATACACAATTTTATACCATCCAACACAAGAGGGTCGAGCGCAATGTTTGGCGTGAAATGATCCATATTCAAAGTGCTCGAATATGAGCACCCCTTAGCAACCACGCGACCAGTACGTACCCTTGAGGAAGAAGGTGTCATGGGCGTCTCTCGCTGGGTGTTGCTGTGGCTGGAAGAGGGCGTCAAAGTTCCAGAAGGCATTCTCTACATAGCGAGCTGTTGACATCTCCGTGAAGCCCATTTGCAAAAAGACCTGTCGCACCTCGGAGCGCACCTGCATAAGCAAAACCTTCAATTTAGGTGCACTGCAAGCAGCTCACAGAGTGGCTACACTCACAACAATTTGCACTGTAACAGTACATACAGCAGAGCTTTGGTGGTACAATCACGGCTCGTAAGAATTTCGCGGTCGTATGAATTTTGCTGTGATCCTGGCCGAGGCTTATTAGTCTGCAGTGTAATGGAGTACGGTTGTAACGAACCAATTTTCTCCCCACAACGTTTCATATGAACGTATGCTAGCTTGCAGCTATGAACAGAGCACTTCTAAAATTTTCTGACGTTAATCTATCCCATGCTCATTAAATCCCTCTTGCCACAGTACTCAGGTGTCATTAAAAGAAGCGTACAATTATTAGGCTGAAGCTACTAGCCGTTATGTGTCACAATGCACCTGGTTTATTAATTACACACACGAGCCGAATCTTCCAGAGTAGAAGTATCATCATTGACGTTTGAAGCCTTCACTGGCAATCATTCACAGCCGTTCATGATGTTGCTACGGCCTTGACAAACAATAAATGTAAATGTATGCAACCTTTTCTTTGTTGCACAATAATTTTCTATGCTTTCTGGTGATATGAATTTCAAATGATATGAATATGTTTGGTGACCCTATGAGATTCGTATCACCAAGGTTTTACTGTAGCTAGTGGGCTAGTTGGTACGTATTGCATAAAGTAGTATGAAACTTTGAGCGTGAATAAACACTGCAGGACAAAAAAAGTAAACAGAACCTACATAAATACAAATATCATATCATGAATGTCACAAGGAGTTACAAGAAGGCTAGTGCAAATACTTGAGCATTTTTAATATTTGCAAGAATATTAACGTGTTTAAATTCACTTTGATGCAAATTTAAATTGCTGGAAATTTCGACATATTAAAAATGAACCAACAGGTGTAAAGATTAAAATAAATAAGATCTGAGCTAGTTGGTGCCAATTCATTCTAAAAGACAGGGCATAGAAACACGGACACAAGAAGTGTGTCCTGTCTTTTTGTGTCAGTGTCTGATTGCCATGTTTTTCAGAACGAGTAAATAAATATATTAATCTACACGTTACCTTCCTATGAAAATGGCTTCATTGCAATAAAGGAGTGTTGTACCATGAATAAACTTTTCCAGAAGAAATACACACTGCCACGAAGTGCCACTTCAAGGCTAACTTAATTAAATAAACATACAAGTTAACCCTTATGCCAATTCACAATTGTTTAAGCTTAAAAGCTCGTTATACTGGCTTATACTATTACTTAAGCATAGTAAATTTAAATGTGTCACGTATTTTGCAGGATGTCACTTACACACTACCAAAAATGAAATCCTGCAACTATCGCTTTCACTTCCTCTAGAAAAAAAAAAAAAGACATTTGCACATGCCTCGTCTCAATCTTAGAAAAATATTGTATCGGATGGTATACTGTAGTCCTTCTATGGTCGGTGTGGGTGAGCTAATGCCGCATGTTGTTAGGCACCTACTGAAGTCTTGCGCCGCTTCCTGCTCCTATGAATTCTGCCAGACCAACTGACAAGCCAAACGCGCCAAGCTATAAACGCGCCATGCAACTCTGGCTGCACGTGTCACGACACCACGCGCTGGAAAAAGAAGGCTGGCGGTTTTTCGAAGGAGCGGCACGCGGCGAGACACAAAAATAAGAGGTTGACGAGGATTTCTCTAGCGAGCTCAGGTCAACCCGTGTGTATTTAGTTGACGGCACAAGTTCGCCATAAATAAATAGCTGTTTTAGCTTCCGGCGCTGTTTTTGTTCGTTACAATATTATGTCATATATACTACACGAATTCGATTCGAAATTATTCTACACAAAATCATTATTCACTTTGAACCTAAAATCTACTATTTACACAAACATAGTAACAAGGCATGCACCCAAGACGTGTTTGGTGTCCATTATTAAAATGTATTTTCTTGTCAGGCCGTGACAGAGATAGCTTACCCACATCGTTGGTGTTCTTTGTGACATGGTATCCCACCAAGATTCGTAGAGTTGTCTGATGCGGGTGACGAAACAAAATTAGAGTACTTTCAAGCAGAGGTTTGAAGTCAATCATTTCTATTACTGCATGAGAAGGAATTCAATTTTATTAAAACACTGTCATGAATTTTGGCAGTCTAGAGACAGACAGGACTATAGTTATAACCTCGTTATAATGAAATTGGAGGGACACAGCAATTTGCTCATTATAACCAATATTTATAGCCACTGGGGACATTTACTGCAAATATTGGTATACCCAAGACAAATAATGGACGAAATAGCATCGCACCGCATGGTGGTACGCAACAAAATAATCGCCTTCTGCAAATAAAAAGGAAATGTCACACACCTATTTTATTGCACTTCAAAATACACAGCTCGCATTTCAAATAGACATAGCTGCAGAGAAGTCCGTAATCGAACGTTGATGCATCTGTTTCATGGCTTGCTCAGCTGCGGTTGCAATATTCAAGGCATCTTCGCCACCCTCGTAAGCGCAGTAGTAGCGGCACAGTACGCCCACCACGTCTAATGCCTCTGAAATTGCCGGCACGTTGGTCTACCAGACGATAGTCTCCCGCTTGTCGACAGAGTCATCGCCGCTGGTTTCATCCAGATTATTAACAGCGCGCACAATGTTATCATCCGGGAGCTGTTCCATTGCCACCACTTCCGAGTCCGCACTCGCATAGTGGCAAAACAACTTGCTGTCGGGCACGACACCAGTGGTGCGAAGTGCCATCCATGATGCTGCGACTTCGTCAGATCTGACGAAACAGTTCGGCGTAGCGGCCTCGTCTAACAATGGCTGATCGCAGGTGTCTAGTGTGGCAGCAAATGAGGCGTGTCAAAAACAATTTGCAATCAAGCTCGCCGTCACACTCATTCATGCCGCTTGAAGCTTTCGTGTGCAGCGTACAAGTCAACTTTGGTGTGCCGCTTCAATCTCATGTAGAGCAGAAGCCTGTTGATTACGCACTTGCATTAACCTACCTTCAGCGACATTATCACGCCTTGGTCAAGTGACTGTATTTTTGCAGTGCAATTCGATGCTATGGAGCGCAGCAGCAATGTGGTGGGCGGTACAGTTATCCAAAACAAAGCGCACCTTGCGATTCGCCTTTGCCAGCTTCTCATCCCATTCACAAAGCCCCATTTAGTGAAGATCTCCCTGGTCATCCAGGCTTTGCGATTGGCCGTGTACTTGACTGGGTGCTGTTTCTTCTCCTTGAAGCGGTGGGATGATGTACTTTTGCCAATTACGAAAATTGGCAGCTTTTCAGAACCAGTCACGTTGGTACAAAGTAGTGCAGTGATCCGCAGCTTATTTTGTTTGCCACCATGGCAAGGCTCACCTCTCAGGACTAAAGTCTTATGCGGTAATATCTTGAAAAAGACAGTGGTTTCGTTTGCCTTAAAGAAGTCTTTTGCGCGGTATGCTTCTAGCAACCGCAGGATGTTCTTTTTCGCCCACTTAGTAGCCTCTGCTTCATCAACAAATTGCGATTCATTGCAGACCACTTTCCTGGCGATGTTATGGCGCTCCGTGAAGCGTCGGAGCTAACCCAATCTTGCTACGATGTAGTCATAGTGCATGATGCAGGCAAAGTCTCCTGCTTTTGTTTGTAAAATGGCGCCGATCACCGGCAGATTTATGGCCTGCATGTTGAAAAAAAAAACATTTAAAAACGACCCTTTCGGTCACTTCAAAGGAAGCAGTCCTTATCCTCTTAATATTTCCTTTCTCGCCACGTGCAACAGTGTCGATGATGGACTTTTGCTTGCTAAGATTGTGGACAGTGTACTCGTCGATATGTCAATGTCTCTGGCCACCTGGCTTTTCTTCGTTCCCGATTCGACGGCTTTTATCATGGTCACCTTTTGATCTAGCGTTATACGCTTTCACTTCCAGCCTAGCACATTCATGTTTCTGGAATCACGAGCGCAGCGCGATAAAAGATAAGGCAGGAGAGAGCACTAAAGAAAAACACAACCAAGAACAAGGCAGTTTACGTTGGCAAGTGACAACACTTGCAGTGGTTGCAGGCAGGTGCGCCGTGGCCGTGCTCACAGAAGAGAATGTGGGAGTGGGCTCAATGGCACAGAGAGAGAGCGAGTGAATAGAAGTGGAAAGGGCACTCCTTACTGCAGTCCTTTAGGAAGCACGACCCAGCACCATGAAGAAGGGAAGACAAAGAATATAAAGAAGACACAAAAGAAACGAAAAAGGGGAAACGTTCGCGGAATAGTGAAGTCCTTGGATGTCGGCGGCAGCCAAGCGGTGCACATGCAGCGCCCGTGCGACACACTCTCCTCCAGAAACAGCATGCGTTTGGCACGCCTCAGCTTTGGTTGCGTTGCTGGCAGAGGCACGGTGGAAGTTTTGAAGTGCTACAGTTGTCGCATTGCGCACCATCTCAAATTCGTGTTGTGCACTGTCATGACATTGGCTCAAAAAAAAAATTTTTTTTAACAGAATTGTTTTGTATATCCCTAGCCAGTAATATTCACTTCATTAAAACAACGTTTTAAGTGCATTGGTTTCTATAGGCACTTTCAAGAAGAATTAAGATTTGCTCGTTATGTACATTATTTCATTATAACTCATCTCTTTATAACAAGGTTTAACTGTGTTTGATTTATATGTGGGGTTTAACGTCCCAAAACGACCATATGATTATGAGAGACACTGACAGGCTCCGGAAATTTCGACCACCTAGGATTCTTTAACGAGCACCGCTTGCAAAGATAAAAAAAAGCTATTTATGAGCAAAGATTAATGGTAAGTCTAACTAATAAACTTTTCCCCGAAGCACAGAAAACCTCAAACTTAGACATCCCCGAAGCACAGAAAACCTCAAATTTAGACATGTTAAGATAGCTAGTAGTCACGAAATAACCCCATGTCTTTGCTATAATGATACAACACTTGACAAACATAAAAAAACAAAAACTTAATATTCCAACTGTCCACAAGTGTTGCAGTGGCCGTTTCCCTGACATGGCATTTGACATTGGTAACCACAGTGTGAATGCGGCATAGATGTCTTCTTCCGTGGCGATGATGCAGGTTCTTCATAGGACCGGCGTGACACTGGACATGGTCATCTGTGCACTGGGCAAATGACACAAGTAGGTGGTTGTCCGCATAGCTGTGGATGTAGACAGAAGTCGGCTGCGTGGTCTGGTTCAGGCTTGGGAAATGATGTAACAGCTTATTATTCCAGGCCTTTTTTGCACATCTTCGGCTTTGCCAACATTTGGCCCAGGCTTCCACAATCGGTCTACACGTCGCCAGGCTGTTGCCATCTTATGTACGTTTATCTTTCAGTGTTCACAAACACAGGTGAAATTTCAGTAAATTTGGTCGAGCACCTAATATATAATGAATATTTTTACGAACACACAAGTCGTCCCAGTCTGACAACGCTGGTGCACTCACAAGCCAAAACATAACAAGCTACTTGCTTTGCGAGCACCTTTATTCTGGCCAACGATATTGTTTCGTGGTCAGCTGCACACAAAATGGAGCTATTATGGCTTTTTTCAGCTTGGCATTGAAAACTGAACGATTTGTAGCAGAAAACATCAGCTTCACTTTACGATGCACCTGATGTCAGATACGCAAAATGATGGTCACCAGTGTTGCGTAAAGTTTCTGACTGGCGACTTCAAGGGCTCATTTCCCAACTGAATATTTTTGATGATACAGTTTTAGTATATGTGCAGGCCCTCTAGTTCTATTTTTTGTTAATGAAAAGGCTTCTTCGAGCGGGACCCACCTGAAGGAGGGGATGCAGATGCCCGCCCTCCGTTGGTTGGCCCAGGGCAGCAAAGTTGTATGCCTTGAAGGGTCGCTGCCGCCACTGACCACTGGCCAGCATCTCGGCAGTCAGGTCAGTCTCGGGCTTGCTCAACTGTGTGGCAAAGTTCTCACCCCGCTGCACCCGATAGCTTTTGACCACCCTGCAGGGTTTTGCTAGACATTGACTTTGGGCATAACCAACAATGAACACAGCCTTGGACCACATCAACAAAAGGGAGCTCATCACATCAGTCATACCTCTTTGCTGCGTAAAAAGCAAAATTTTGGGTTCGAACCGAATTCAAATATTTGATGTGAGAATTGAATTGAATATTCTTCGAATAGTGCAAAGTCAAAACTACAGAAAAAAAGGTTGCGAAAAATCCCTAAGCACATTCTTATGAGATAGGAATATGAAGATTTTTTTGGGCTAGGTTGATGAAGTGCTGTAGAGATGCTGTTCCCTAGCTGTTTTATCACGAATGAGGCTATGCAGAGACAGAGATTTACATGATTAGGTGCAACCAATGTGGTGTCAACAACACTTCACAAGTGAAAAAAAAAAATACCGTTTGCTCCACCTCTCCCTGCTTCAACTACTGTGGAGGCCCAACTTAATTAGCGGATGAGAGCGTGGGTCCTTCTAATTTAGAGTTGCATTTAGACATCAACGTACAGAAACACCTGAAATTTCAGTTGCTGAAAATTCAATTTTTTTTTTAATTTTTGGTCTGAAACAGACCCCACCTATACCGCATTAGTTAGAACCCTTTAAGACCGTATCGGAGCCCTAAAAAGAGCTTTGTTCAGAGTGTAATGCGGTGAAGCGTATTAAAAATACAAATGGGCCACTGTACCGGCACAGCATCTCCATGGCGTTTTCTCAGGCCAATTCACTTGCTACTACATTGCAGAGTGTGCAATGTAGCTTTACCGCAATGCGACAATGTAATGGGATGAAGCATATGAAAAAAATCTGAAGGAATTATTCCTAATCGGACATCGACTGTATTTGTTTTCAGAAAGTTCAATTGCAAATGATATCAACAAGCAAACACTAATAGAAAAATATTCAGAAGTTCAAATATTTGTACATCGCTACTTTAAACCCCTTTGAATTCATGCATATGCATCTTCGTTAGAAATCTCAGTTGTTTTTACGTATGTCTTGTTGCATGTGTGCATGCAAGGTTTTTATTTATAGGCATTGTTGCGAGAATAATAAAAGAAATTGTTTGTAAACCCCAGTGCTTGTCTCTTCGATTCTTCATGGTCCCTCTTCGTTTGCGCTGAATTTTCATCTTAAAAAGCTTTACTTTAGTCTTGCCAGATGCTACCGAGCTAGCAAGCGATTAATCGTCCCATAAGCTCAAAAGAATCAAAAATTTTATATTTCCATTGTTTAAAATACTTTAAAATGTAATAAGAAATGCAACTCAAATATGAGGGGGATTAAAAAAAACCCTTTCATTATTTTGTACCACAAAAATATAGGCAACTATGAACAAAAGCACGTATTAGATAACAGAAAAATTTTGAACACAAAAACAAGACATTTACTGGGACGAGATAGATGTAATAAATAAAGTGGCATTTATTTAAGCTAAGCTTATAAGAGCCTTCGTTTACAGTCTGTTTTCAATTTTATGCATATATAATTCATAAAGGCTCTGCTAAAGAGCCTTCATGCATCATTCTTTAGATAGGGATTGAGGAGGTCCGTCTGGTTTGGCCAAAACAAGGTTATGGCCAATACAGCATATACACCACATGTACTTGACAAGTAGTTTGGAGCCAGACAAGCGATTGGAAACGCTTCTCCTCGATGCCCGCATTGTCAAGAATTATGCCAAGCAGATTTACACCAGCCCATTTGGGTTTGCTCTGCTTTCTCGCGAGGACAAACACACATCCAACACCTGCCATGCGACAATATAGGAAGCTTAGGCATTGTGCTACAATGTAATGATGAAGCTCAAAAAGCACTAGCGACCTATGCTAGTACAAGTGGCCTGTTTCGAGTAGTCTAGAGGAGGTCGACTAACTCGGGTGGATAGCAACTTTTAGAAAAACCACTACAATGAGTGAACGCAAACTGATGAAATCCAATCTTGATATGCTCACGCTGTGCACTTAATAATCCCTTCCTCCCATAATCCCAAACTGCAGCCCGGAGCCGTACATTTCTTTGAATTCAAGGTTTCATTCATTGCGAAAATTATCAGTAAACTTAAGCACCATATTTTTGTCACAGGCATGTGCTTCGGTTCTGTAGCTTCCACAATGCTGCCAAGAAAATTTGCCGTTGATCTCTATGTGTGGCTCTAGGATACCACCTCTGAGAACCTAATGAAATTGGTCCTCATCTTGACACACTAATTTTTTGTAAATGTCTAAGGCCAGGGGAATTACCTCCCACCAATTTTTTTACCACTGTTCCACAAGCACATCTAATTCTCTCATATGAGGAAAGGAATTGTTACAAAATAACCCATCATGAGCTACAGGCTGGAGAAAATCTGTACCTGTTACTGATACAGAAAATTTGTCACAGCACTCATATCCATAAAATCCCAAACAAGCGCCCCTCTCCTTTCCCACCATTTTCCTTCACCCAACGAGGACAAGCACATTAAATGAATAATTGAATTCTCATACCATCTTTGTGCTCTATGAATTTATATCTGCAACTGAACAAGGATCTTTCCTTCACCATAAGGTCACTTGCTTGAGATGTTACAGTAACTGGTGCATGCGAGGTGAAACACAATGGCCCCTTGCAATACCAATGAAAATGGGGAAGAGCAAAGTGCTTGCCCTACTACTTCCAAGATTATTGCTGTAGTTTCTGGAACTTTTGCAGATACATTACAAAAATACTGTATCGCTCAAAAAAGATTTTCTACGCGACTTTTTTTTTTCTTCATACGCTGTGAAACCCTTAGGAAGACTTAGAATGTGTTAACGTGTAAGAAATGTAATAACGCTTCCTGCATACTTTCACAGGTACTTCATCGGTAAAAATAATTATGCTTATGTACTCCATCTATTGTAAAAAGGTTGAAACACCATTAAAAGTTACGTGGATGCTTCTGTGTGCACCAAAATTTTGACATGAATATATTGGGCAAGTTCAAGCATGAGAAGTTGCTCGTCCTTCGTTGCTTAATTAAGATAGAATCTTTAAAATGCCAAATGTAATTATTGATGGTGTTTAATGTTGAGAGATGCTGTAGTGGAGGACTCTGGAAATTTTCACCACCTGGGGTTCTTTCAAGTGCAACTAAGTCTAACAAACCACAAATATTTTTGTTTATAGAAAAAAATGCAGCCAGGATTCAGTCCCGCAACTTGCAGGTCAGCAGTATAACCACTAGATTACCGTGGCGGGTACTACTAAATGGTGTGTGGATGTAGGAGAGAGGAGGTACTCATTAGTGTACAGCCGTACACATGCAGATGAGAATTATTCACAACTATAAAGAATGCCGTACACTTGGCGCAGCAGCTTTCGCCGTTTCAGTTCTTGGCGCTGAGCATCGTCCAACAGGTGGGCGTGGCCACTGCGCACCTGGCACAGACTGGCCTGCACCAAATCCGGTGGAGGCTCGGTACAGGACAGCCGAACCGTACCGTGCTCCTTGTCCAGCAGCACCCAACCCAAGGCCAAGGCCTTGCTCAGGCCGAGTTGGTCCCCTCGGCTCAGGGACGCTCGTGGGAGGCCCTCGGGCCCAAGCAGGCGCACCAGGCGACCCTCGGGGCTCCCCTGCTGGCACACCTCGCTTCCCTCAGCCGTCAGCTCCCAGTGCTCGCCACTTTGCTGCTCCACTTGCAGAACCTGAGACGTGTTTGTGATGCAGTTCGTTGTCACTGGATTTATTTTTAAGAGGGGAGATGACAGGGTAGAAGTAGAGGCTCTATTATGCCTTCACCTGTATTAGATGTGGACTGTAAAAGAATATTTCAGTGCAAAACAACCACGAGAAGTCGCCAGCTGCAGACTCTGCCCACCTCCAACATCCGCCATCTTGCCAAGGCATATATGATGTAATGTGATGTAAGTGAAGCTGTCGTCTCCTGGCAGTTTCAGCCGCTACAAATCATTCAATTTCTTTGCCAAGCTGAAGAAAGCTAACATATTTTGATTTCACACGCCATATGACCACAAAACAATATCGTTCACCGGATTGCACAGATTCACAAGGCAAGCGACTAGTTAATGCAAAAGGATTACGCCACATAACACAATATTACGATCGAAAATTGTGTGTTATAGCCCTTTATTAAATCTAAGAACCCAAATATCCGAAGTGCACTCATGAGAAAGGACAAAACATTTTCTTAACATTCCACAAGGTAACAGAAATCTTGCGAGGGAATCTTGCATTCCCTTGCAAGATTTCTTCATAGTATGACTGGTAACTTGAATATAAATGGTCTGCCATACCTTCGTCCAGTTACAACTAGACAAACAAGACACAATAGACCTAATACATTGCAACCAGCCTTCAAAAAAGTACTTTTCCCCAGAATTATAGCGGACTGGAATAGACTTCTATATTCAGTAAATACGTCACTAAATTACAGGCAGTTTTTGGAAGGGCATATTTTTTGGCTAGATTTGGTGCTTTTCTCCTGCTCTACAACTTTTATTGTACCGTCATTGTCATTGATTGCATGCATATTTGCACTTTATTTTTTTTATGTGATGTGTACCATGCTTGGGCCAAGTTGGCCTGCATAGCTTGGACATGGGAAGGTGCCTTGTGGTGCAGTAATTATTTGCACTAGCCGAACACCGCTGAGATTCATACGAACTAATCCATGGTAGCCCATAACTGAACAGTCACTCAGCCTCAATAATGTTTTTCAAACACAGAAAGATACAACTTGCTTTGTACCAAAGGTTTTCCAAGGTTGCCTGTTACTGCTGCAGCCCAAAGAAGTAACAGGCACGAAAAAAAAGCACATTACATCATGCATCACATTACACACTCGTGGACATAGGAAAGGACGGGCAATGGCTGCACATAACAATCGACACATTATTCTTCGTCGCTGAGCGATCGCAGAAAGGTAAACCTACAAATGGCAAGGCTTGGCAATCCATTTGACACAATTCCATGTTAAGCTTTGCTCGATGGCACATGAACACATCAAAGCACGCCGTCTCAGAGTTCACGCGGATTCTTTACGAAAAGTAGTGGGACTGGGTAGATATCACTACATTTACAGAGTATTAGTAGGCAATTTGTGATCCGTTGTAGCGTTCATAAATACAGCACAATTTTTTAGCCTACCGGTCACCTGTCTCACTGCTGGAGCTAAATATCTGTTCGCCGGAACTTACATTTCCGAAGGCTTGGATGCTCTTGATAGTGCCGACTACTTTCTGGTGGTCCACGTCCATAACACGGGCCAGCTGCAACGAGTCGCAAGCCCCGTGCTCGGCGACATACTGAAGAATACCTTCCACCAGATCAACCATGCTTGTCGCAGGCGCTTTCGTTCGACGATTATGCAATCCAAGCACCTAACACGAACGGTGTGAGAAGCGTTTGCACTCGGCCACGCGACAGCATTCGGCACCCCTGCGTCCTCGTTGGCGAGCAGTCAGCAACCACGCACGAGCTATCGCAATTTCACAAAACGCATGTGCAACCAACCAATCACCGCGTATAACGACGGTGTGCTAGACCAACGCCTCCTTTAGGAAGATGCCTGCCGCGTGAGAAAAAAAAAAACAACTGCCACACTCTTTTCCTCCTTCATTTTAAAAATGTTCTCGGTCGCTAGCGTCACCTGTGGCGGATGGTGCAAGAACGCAACACTTTGCATGGCCTCCGAAATAGTGGTGCACAGTTGCAGGTCTCGAACAACTCTCGACTGACGCGCCCCTATGGGCCGCAGATGAAAAACGCTTAGTTGGTACCAAGGAGGATACATAAAACTTGCTGGAGTGGAAGCCGCCTATGCGCCGCTACGGGAGAGAGTGAAGCCGCGCCGAGCATGCGGCGGCCATGTTGCCAGTGGCAGAAAAGTGCCGAGCGCTGCAAATTTAATGCTTCATCGCGCTGCGGGTGAAGTGACTCGTGTGTTTATAAAGCAACGAAAACAAGTAATTCTGGTTGTAAATGTTTATTGCGACTTGTACTCAGCCAAGTGGCATGTAGAGAACTCAATTAAAGTACATATGCATCAAATAGCGATGCCTAAAGCGAACACATAATCGAAAACATAGGTGCCCTACTGGTGGTTGAAAATTATTGCCCTTGTCAAAAGTGGTCCCACCTTACTCTTGACGGATTCTCGGTTTTTTTTCCCTTCTTCATGTGTTGTATCCTCACTTTTACGTATTGTTCGGCGATTTGCCGTCACAAGCTGTAAACCTGATTATCAAGCGCATCAAAGTCTAGGACGTGCTGCTCTAGCTTATGGGACCAGTTTTTTTCGGAGGAAGCTCATAGAACTTTCAGGATGAGGTGTCTTGCTCTTGACTTCACCGTTGTGATGGAATCACATTCAGCCTGTAGCCGCCTCAGTCTTCGACTTCTTTACATGGGCTAATGGCATCTCGCGACGGTAAAACAAGACCACCTAGCCTCTTACATTTAATTAAAGGTGTCGGCTCATCTGAGTGCATGGCTACTATGCACTCTTCACAGGTAGTTGCAGTTCGACCTTTCGAACAATGAAGCCTGCTTTGTATGGCACCACGGAACCGACAAAAGCAAAAAAGCTTTCGGGCTAGTCAATGCGATGCGTATTGTCGCGGTCATCGAGCTGCAGCACTGGGGCCTAGCGCATGTCAGTGAGATTGCTTCTTGGATGTACCATGGCTGCAGGAGTCGTTGCATTCATTACGGAGAGAACATCTTGGGAGCAGTGTCCAGAACTTGAAGACGTGACTTCCGTCTGAACCAACAGACGCTTGTATGCAGCCATAAACTGCGAAGCTGTTGGGTTGTTGTTATGGCCGCCTCATCCACGTATTGATTCAAAGAAGTTTTCGGCATAGTCTTGACTGAGTTTGTGTGTCAATAAGTATTTCAGCTGACCCTGGCTGACAAGTCTGTCAAACATTGTTTCTGTGCTTGCCATGCGTATCCAAAAACGAATGAATCCGGTTTTTTTTTTTTCAGTCCTTCTGTGACTGCCGAATCTCTCAGCCCGTTTATGTACGCTTGAGTCTCCACCAAAAAAACGACTTCCAGAATGCTACGTTCCCCTGCCGAAGGGGCACTTTGTACGACCTTGCCAGTGGGTTCCTGGAGTTTAAGATGTCAAACAAGCCATCAAAAGTTCGAATAAACGTAGATCTTGTGCTGGCACCCTTGAATTGCGGCAGCTTTAGCTTTTGTTCGCAGAAGTCCAAAGCGTCGGCAACTGAGGCACTCGATCAGTTGTACAGCATATCATACCTTCATTTTCTTGCTTTTCCCATTGGACGTGGACTTTCGTAAGTTTGTTTCCGAGCCACAACCCTTCTTCACGTTGAAGTGCCTTCAATGCCACTTCATAACCCCATTTCACATGCTTCCCTTCAATGTCAAAGAGGTGGTCAAAGCACTGTGGCGCGAAGTGCACAGAGCGAAGTGATCTCAGTCTTTCGCATTCTACTTCTCACGGCAAACGGCCCACTCCCAGAGGCTTTGCGTTACGGGATGTTTAGTAAACCTGTAAAACAAATCCGGACTGTTATGTTTTGCACGCTTAGATCACTTCAGCTATAGCTCCCTTTAGTAACAATCGCGGAATGGCTATGTCGAAGACGTTTTCGTGTACGTACAGGTGGAATGTGAGGCCACAGCCTTTTTTCAACCTGCTGGCACATCCGTAAATGACGCAAGAGGCAACCATTGTAAACCATTTGTCTTTACATGCCGACAAGGTGAAACAAGAACGGACGAAATCAGCAGCTCGCGAGGGCGCTGAGCACGATTTTTGCCACTGGCAAGATGGCGGCGGCTGGCTTCACTCGCACAGCGCCCCTTCCACTCCAGCAAGTTTTATGTATCCTCCTTGGTTGGTACCGCTTGTCGCCGTGAAGATAGTGTCGGTCGCGAGCGCTACCGCGCGGAGCTTGTTTAAAACTGAAGGCAGGCCAACTTTGCTTGTTGCACGGCCATAGTAGAGTCACGGCCACTGGATCAAAGCTTGATCCAGTGGCCGTGGTAAAGTCAACGCCTCCTCTAGAAAGATGCCTGAGGAATGGCTCGCGCTCCTATAGCCTTTCCGTGCCTGCCGGATTATCGGTGGTCACTCGGGAAGCGGCGGTCGTTGAAACTGCGATGGGGGCGCCGCTCAAGTAGGGGGCGTCTTCATATAAATTTTTACGTTTTCAGAACTTATATGCAAGACAAGTAACGTTAAAAAGCTTTAAAAAGGTGTAAACGTAATTATAATTAATCCTACGTAAGTTAAGTCGTCATTCAGCAAGCAACTTTTTCAATACAAGGCATTCTCTGAAATTAGTAGCAAACGCCAAAAATGCCAATCTCAAAGGCCAAGTACAAAGACCCTTATTTCTACGTAGGCAGCGTCGTCATAGATGACCGGCGTTTCGCGTTCATTCGGCAGGCACAGTAAATCTAGGAGGCGTTGGCTAGACCATAGCACAGAACATCATAGCCTCTTAGATTTCTCTTGCCTACCAGATGAGCCTTAGATTTCTCTTGCCTGCCAGATGGGCGTCTGGCCTGCCACAGATGACGGGCCAGACGCCCGTCATCTGTGGCGGCGCTGCCTACAAAAGGATAAGAGTCTTTGTACTTAGCCTTTGAGATTTGCAATTTCAGCGTTTGCTACCATTTTTAGAGGCTATGCTTTGTATTGAAAAAGTTGCCTATTGAATGACGTCGTCACTTACGTAGGGTTATTTATAATTAAGCTTACGTCTTTTAAAAAAATTTTACGTTATTTTTGTTGCATTTAAGCTCTAAAAACGTTAAAACTTATTTAAAGACAACCCACTTAAGTAGCGCCACCACTATTGTTCCGATGACGGCCGCTTTTTATCTGACCGCCAATTATCCGACAGGCAAGAGAAATCTAGGAGGCTATGGCTGCCTCCTAGATTTTTTTTGCCTGCCGAATGAGCGCGAAACGCCGGTCATTATGGCGGCGCTGTTTACGTAGGAATAAGGGTCTTTGTACTTGGTTTTTGAAATCGGTATTTTTGGCGTTTGCTACTTATTTTAGAGGCTATGCCTTGTATTGGAAAGGTTGCCTGTTGAAGGTGTAGAAGAAGTTGTCACAGAGAACAGCCTCTGCTTCAAGCTCTGTGAGATTCCTAATTCTTTTGCCAAGATTTTTCAATAATCGACACACCTCGGAGGGGCGTTCCCTCTTAAAATGGGGGATCAAAACCCCATCCAGCAACCGGAACCGGGCCGACCACATCACAGTGCGTCTGACGCAAGTCCTCACCCCGGCCCAAGCGTGGCCCACGTTGACAATTCTGATGACTCCTCTGTTGAAGATATGGCTTCGGACAGCGACTACGTGGTCGTACCAAGCCGACGCCTGAAGAGGAAAATCAGCCGGACATCGCCGACTGGCCGGCAAGCACAGACAAAGGCGAGTAGCATGCGGTCGTACACCATTTCGTATGTGCCGACATCGAAGACAGACATCTTGAACTCTCTAAATAGACAGAGCCTGTCAGAGTACTTTGAGCTCATCGCTCCAGGGAAAGTCGTAGAAATACGCATAAATAACCGAAATAACATACTGTCCGTGGAGGTCACTACGAAGGCCTTATTGGACACTCTGAAAGCGATTGTTCGATTAGGAAACATTCTGGTTCGCGCATTCTCCGCGTACGACGAAGAAACGACAACAGGAGTTATATACGATGTGGATGAAGAGATAACAGACTCGAGTCTCGAGAAACTGCTGTCATCGTCGGCTCCCGTGCTTGGCTTCCACCGCTTTGGACGCACGCGATGTGTTAAAGTAGTGTTTCAGTCGAAGACGTTACCCACACATGTAAAAGTTGGGTACGTGAGGCACTCGGTACGTCCTCACGTACCAAAACCTCTGCAATGTCATAAATGCATGAAATTTGGGCACGTTAGTGCAGTTTGCAAGGGTGCAGTAACCTGCAAGCATTGCGGTGGCCTTCATGATGGTGATAACTGCAATGCTGCGGCCAAATGCCCAAACTGCTCAGGCGCCCACGACGCAACATCAAAGGAATGTCTTAAAATGAGGAATGAAATTAGTATCCTGAAGAAGATGGTTCGAGACCACTCCACTCACAGAGAAGCTGCAAGGGCTGTACGGCGCCGTAAACATCGTTCGCGACACCGACGCAAACGAAGCAGCAGTGCTCATAGCTTATCGAATTCGACACACAAAACCGTGCCCTCACCACCTCCTAGCCTACTTTTGTCGGCCAGAAAGGAGGATACAGATGCTCAAATGCCAATACAGTCCACACAAGTACAATGTAACCAGTCATTGGCTCTCCCCACGTCGGAGACTCAGTGGCCTTCACTACCGTCAAGAGCTACGATAGCGCCATCATCGCATAGTGCCCCTACCCCCAATGAGGAAAACAAGATGGACAACGCAGATGTCAAGGCTATGCTTAAAAATTTGATGGGTTCGATGCGTAAGATTCTCAGCAGCCTAAACACTCCCGCTGCTAAGGCGGCTGTGCAGCTACTTGAGGTTTTGGAGCCTCTTCTACTGGTTGTTCAGTAA